TGGTAGAGTTTTGAGCTTGTTGGATTTTAATTGGGTGAAGCCCAATCGTTTCATTGCCATCTCTAGCACTAAGAAAATGGTATTCGGCTAGCTTGATTTTAATCATATTGAATTTAAGCCTGGATTCTGAGCTTGAATCGTTCGATGTTCTATTTTTTCTGTATGAATATTTGGCAGAACCAACTCCTTCGGCTGAATAATTTGGGAAATTTTATACGTATTTTTTCACCTTGTTTTCTTGTTAAAAGCCGCATAGACCTTGCCGTCCTTTTAAATTATTTAAAGCAAGTAACATACTTCAATTACTTGGACAAGTGGTTAATCGTGTTTGCATGCATATCGCATGTCAACTTATGAAAGGATGCGTGATAAAAAAATATTGAATATGTTCACAGCTTATTAAAGGATGCATGATTAATTCACTTTAAAATGAATCTATAATTAAAATTAAGAAACTAAAAGAAAATTAATTAAAAATTTATTTAAAAAAATATTAATTTTAAATATAATCTCCGGATACAAATTTGTGATTATTCTTTAGATTATGAGATATGCTTAAAGTTTGAATGTCGTTATTAATTATATTTATAGTAATATCTTTTTTCATTGATTTATCTTTTTTTTTTATTGATGTGGGGCATTAATTTTTATATATATAAATCTAGGTTAGTTCTTAATCACAAGAATCACATTCAATTTGCCTTCCAATAAACTAAAAGTTAATTGCAAACGAAAAAGTGGGAGAGTAACATTTACATATCATAAAAAAAAAAAAAAATATGCAAGGGTAACTCGTGCCAAAACAAGCTCTTTTTTTTTTTTTTTCTTTTGGGTGGCAAAACAAGCTTTGAGGATTGCTAGTTTATTAGTCTAAGAAACTCTGGTTATTTACGTTTTAATTAAGGCTTCGATTATAAAAAAAACAAAAAACAAAAAATATATATTTTTCAAAGGGAGCCGAAATGAATTATAACTACTAAGATATGTTGAAAAGAAAAAAATTATTAATACCAACTTGAACAGTTAAATTAAAAGTGTAATCAATCGCATTTGAATCGATACATTATTAAACTTAAGCTTGATACAACATTTGAGACTTGAAATTTGGTTCGAACTTAATTGAGTTTTATTTTTTTAATTTAAACTCAATTCGAGATAAAAATTGAGTTACTCGAACTCGTTTGATTAATCTCGATTAATACATAAAAATAAGCTCGATTTTTATATTCGATAAAAACTTGATTATTTATATTTGAGTTCAAGATATTTTATTAATTAAAATATATTAAAGTATAAAAGTTTGATAATCTCGCAATCTACTTAATTCGGATATAAAAATATTCGAATTTAACTCGATCGATAAATCAAATCACTAAAACTCGAATCGATAATAATCAAGTTGAATTAGAGTTTTATTCAAGAATAACCTGAGTAGTTTATGAGTATTAATATATCATTTACACTCTTAAGTTAAACATTTTTTTAACTCACTCAATCATCAATCTTATCTAATTTCCCTAATGCAATCAGTACACATTTTATAATTTAATGGTTGAATTAGAAATAACGTATATTATTATGAATTTCAACTATTAAATTTTTTTTATCTCTTTCTTTTCCTTCCTATCAAATGGAAATCACAAACTTAAAGATGTGTTTGATATATAAGATATCATAAGATATGATAAGATGATATTATGAATAATATTAAATTAAATAATATCATTTTATATTGTATTTGATGTGTACAATGATTAAAATAAGATAATTTATTTATTAGTTAAAATTATCATTCCTTAAAATTATATAATTTAAATTATTGATATAATTTTTAAGAGAATAATAGGATATATAAGTTTTATCTTATGAATTAAAAATAATTCACTCTATTTTGAGATGATTAAATCATATGTAGAAGATGATTAATTCTTCTTTTAATCTTATTCTTTTTTTTTTAAAATACAAACATAATATAAAATAATTATCATTTTATACACCAAATATAACCTAATAATATAATATTATCACTACTCTTTCCAAGTGGTATCATATGGACATAGACAAGTATGTCCTTGATAAAGTCATTAGTAATCACAGCTTATTCTTCGCCCCCTGATTCTGTGATTCAATACAGCTCACTAATTTTTTCTTTCAAACAAAAAAAAAAAATTCACTAAGATTAAGATCCTTAGTTTTTATTCAATAGAACTTGACTGGAGGATAATTACTTTCTCTCATCTAATTTTTTTAAACAATATGTATGAGTTAATATTTAATGACTCAAAGTGTATAAGTGTTGTGTATTGTCAATGGTTATAATTATAAATTTATAGTTAATATATTATTAGTATATAAATTTTATATATTGTAATAAATTAAATGATATTACCTCATTAATGAATAAATTTTTTAAAAAATATTAATTTTTGTACATTTATTTTAAGAACTAATATTTACTTATTAATGATGTAATATCATATAATTTATTAATAGTATATAAAATTTATACACTAACAGTTTATCAAATATAAATTCTATAACTATATGGATCGAATTATTTATAATTTGACTTATGAATAAAATATTATCATACGATTAATTGACAATTTATAATAATTTTACACTATCGATCATTAAATATTAACTTATATATTGTTTAAATAAATTTAGATGAGGGAAAGCAAAGTATCCTCCTGTCAAAATCAATGGAATAAAAACTAAGGAGCATAGTATTAGTGACATTTCTTTGTTTGAAAAAAAAAAACAGTGACCACTATCGAATCACAATAAAGGGACGAAGAAGTAGCCGTGAAGACTAATGACTTTGTTGCCATTCTGTCAATGACATACTTGATCTATATGTTTTCTTGAATTTTAAGAAACCCATTTGAGTCAAGATTAGCAGCAAGTGGGTTTCTTAAAATGGTTTTTGCATGGGGGAATGTACTTTGTTTGCTTACAGAAGTCATGCAAGGAAAAAACATCATAAATATGTGACTGAAAAAAAAGGATGGTTACATATACCATCGACTATTTGATTTTTTTGCTAATTTTCTTATAATGATGGCTCATTTCTTATCAGTGCTCTTGATTAATGGAGAAATTTGAATCATATCGATTGTTAATGGAGACTGAACAAATACTAGTAGACATGACACTTGGTTTTATTTTCAAAATTATTAGTAATATTCAATTCTTACTTGGATCCTGATGTTAACTGATGAGAAAAAAACTAGAAATCGTGATTTATACTATATGAACAAAACTAATTAATTGAATTAATTTAATATTTTTTAATAGTGTGAAGTAAGAAAACTAATTGAATTCATTTAAATATTTTTTAATAGTGTGAAGTAAGATTGATTTTTAATTGACTTTGAATCTCATATATATATATATATATATATATATATGGATATTATTGTTCTATTTTGAATTACTGCTGCTGCTAATCAATTTTGATTCTAATAAAATTATTGTATTTTTTTTGTCAGTTTTGCTTTATTTTTAAATTACCATCATGCATGACCAAGTTAAGATACTTGCTTTAAAAAAAAAAAAAAAAAACCTTTAATTAGGAATGATCACCTAGTGCATGGCCAATTGACATTAATATAATGTTTTATAGGCCATGAATCCTTTTTTCGTTTTTCTCTTATTAACGTTTAATGGACTAATCGTGTTCATCTTGCTTGTACAAATGGCTCACCAACTGCTACAAATCAGGTCAATTCTTGTTTTTTCTTACACGACTAATCAATCAATTATTTTCAAAATTATATTCTACAAATTATGAGGCAGGTAGAATTTTATAGTAAAAAATTTTAAACCCCCTTATCCTGTAATCCCTTCTACTTTGATTGCAGAGTTTATCAGAATTATAAAGTGAGGGTGTGACTATTTGACTGAATATTATGTTGGATTTGAAACACTAAACACAATAACGCAAAAACAATATATCGTAATAAATTTATAGTAATAGATAACGATCAATAATAAATAATACAAAAAAAAAATAAAACACATTAAGATTTACGTGAAAAACCCTCCAATGTAGAGAAAAAAATCACGGACCACTAGAAAAAACTTTACTATCAAATAATAGATATACAAAGTTCTTTTATAACTAAAACTAGAGCTAATCAACAATTAGAGAGAGACAATTGAAAAAATATCACTAAATAGGTGATTTAACAAATACATCTTGGATTTATTTTTAGAGAGCTTTAAACCCGATATTCACCATTCAAAATGTAGAATTCTAAATCATAAAACTACGACAAAATTTCAGTTTAATCGAATTACGAATTAACTTCTGTTCAACCAACTCTCTATTTTCCTTTTTCTCTCTACTTGTCTTGGTTTTTCTTCTTTCTTTTCTTGATTTGCGAGACTACCTTAAAACAATTTCATTTCTTTTTATTAAGTAACTAGGGTTCTGTGTAAAAAGAAAGATAAAAGCATATTGCCTTTTATTAATCCAAAATCAATTACATGAGACTGAACTTCATTTTCCTAACATACTAAACTCTTACTTCGAGTGATAGAAATTTAATTTTCAACAATCTCTAATACATAAAACCTCCATATACATTCTCAACTTTCGAATGTATATATTGAATTTTAAATTTTTCTAAGGTGTGCTTTCTTATAATGTTATGACATGATTAACTAGTTGAGCAAAATTTTCTCCAATTTAAATGCAATTCGTGATCTACAATTTACATATAGGTAGAAATTAGGGTTTAATTTTTTTTTTCCTTTACCAGCAGGTTTTATATTTTTTGGATTAAAAAGGCTAGACGCACGAACACAAAATTTTACTCCTAAACGTTGTTTCTGCCAAAATTTGCAGTGGCATATTATCATCTGTCATAATGATTTTTAGATCACTAGACACAAAAAAACTCAAAATATAAAGCACGATTAGCTCAAGACTTATCTGATAAGCACGAATAAAATTAGTTGTCTACATTATATGAGAAAGATTTAGCGGAGACTGCAACAAAGTTTACAACAAGATATAGCTCGAAGTTTACAACAATAAGAATATGCAACAAAGTTTACAACAATAAGAATATGCAACAAAATTTACAACAAAGTTTACAACAAGAAAGTTTTTGTAGCATTCAGCTCGAAGAACTTATTGTATCGGACATTCCATATTGCTTTAAGTTTTAACTACTTTTCAATTACCATAAGGGAAGCATTTTCTCTTAGACATAATCTGATCACATAATTGCGAAAAGACAAAAATCAACCGTAAATGCTGGGATTGAGAGTAGCATATTTGAGGAGCTCTTCATTTTGTTCAAATAATGCCATTTCTTCCTCATCCAAAGTCAAGAGAGCTTCAATTCCATCACCGGATCGTGTGTCAGCGAAAGCAATTGTATTAGTCACCAATTTGTTTATACTGACATGCCATAGCGGCTTTCCCCACCCAAAATCAGTGTCATATAAGGGAAACTTGCACCAACTTGAACACTTATAAACTGTCACTTCTCTGTTGTTTCTGAAGAACTCTCCTCTCTCTTTCAAGGCTCCCATGATTGCCAAAGGAGCCCCTTCGCCCCTGAACATATTGGCCGTTGTGTTATTGAATTCGTTGAAGGATTTTCTCATTTGAATCACTAGCTTATCTAGCTCTAAATCTTTTTCTTCATGTGCAATCACCATAAATGGCCATATAAAGTTCCCAATTGCAGTTTCTGGTAGCGGGGGAGACAACCTTTTCCGCAAATTGACAGCTTGAAACAATGCCGTTGGCCCGAATGATCCTGTTTTTAGTTTCTTAGTAGCTACGGCACATTTCCATAATAGGGCCAACACCACCTCCACTCGAGACGGATGGCTTTGCAACACATTTTGAAATTCCTGATCGACTTTAGCCTTCAATTCTGCAATCTTTGATGCACTAAATACAAATCTCCTCAGCACAAACTTCTCAGCTTCAATATTAAGAGATGCAGACATGGCAGAAAGTTCATCTCTGGGTGCCAAAAATTTTTCTCCAATGAGATCAGGCGTCACAGGGTCACTCAATCCGCGACAAACCGATGACCAGCTCTGGAGGAGAGTGAGCAGTGCTGATACATCAGCGAGCTTGTGAGTAAGAGAGAGACTAATAGCCACACCACCACAAGTAAAGCGAGTGAGCTGAACGAGAAACATGGCACCATTGGACAATTCCATGGTTTCGGGATCAGTAGTAGGTAAGAAATGGTCCATCAGATTAAAGTCAGGTTGATTAAGGAACTCAGATAATTTGATGTTGACTGTGGCTTCGACAAAGAAAGCACCCTCATCGTTACAATCAATGGTAGCAGCGTCCCGGAGACGTCCGCCCAGTGGGTAGAAGAGCGAGAGTGTTTTGGAAATTGAATCTTGAAGGAGCTTAGATTTGTCGGAGAAATCATCAGTGGTTTCATTAGAAGGGTAAAAGAAGGTCATATTGCCATGGATGCCAGGGGAGATTTGATCTAGAAGGGACAGCTTGAAGGTTTTCAAGTACGGAGGTGTTGGGTTACAGGGCCTTATGGTTTGCCTGGAAACAATTTCAGACTTCATTTTGATCATTTTTTTTTTCTTTTTTTGGTTTAAGTGACACTTGTTGCCTGCCTGGCCCGGTTTCGTTATATAGACAAAGGAAATTGTTTGATCTTTCTCCTTTTCTTAATTTTTTTGTTATATAGAGTTTCTCTTGTTCGGGCAAACCTCCAATTTGATCGTTGAAATTTTGTCCTCTTCTGCTACTTAATTAATGCACTCCACTAGCCCTTTATTTTTTTTTTATATGAAATAGCCCTTAGATTTATTCTTCTCCATTGTTTTCCCTGGTGTAAATTAATAATCTTGGTGGTTTTTTATGGATAGAATATATAGAAATCGATCCCTAAAAAATACCAATATATGACAGAAAATAATCGCACTAGATGTAACTTGTAGCTGTATATTCACATTCATATTCTCATGAAAAGTCATTTTTAAGCTAAAACTTTCACATTCGTCTTTGCTAGAAAAGTTAGGTGAGACAAAAGGTCAAATTGCATAGATCTCGGAAGAAATTCATGGCTTGAAGAAATCAGATATAATTTATGACTTCAAAAAAAAAAAATCATAATTGCTTTATTGAGTTCTTTTATAATTTTTTTAATACTATAGTATAGTCTATAGCCTATACTCTGAAGCAATTGACTTAAGGTATATTTTACATAAGAAATGTCACATCTGGTATTGGATATTATTAGCTAGCTTTCTCTACTGACCAATATATACCCCCCATACAAAGGAGAGAGTCATTGGGATCTTTCTTCTAATGATCATCAATTGAAAGTTTCACTACATAAATAGTTTTGCCAAATCTTGATTATAAAGGAGGCTGCTACCATTGGCCATCTGCATTTTCTTCAAGTTTTGTGTAATGACGTTATCGAGCATGAAGTTTGAACTAACTCTAATATTATTGAATTAACAGTTCATTGATATTTTCACGTTCTTTTCTATTTACTATTTACCATTAATTTATAAGACCAAAATGAATCAAATCAGTTACAATTGACTACGAACGTATCCTAAATAAAATAGAAATAGTTTATCTTTCTAGGTTCTATCCTCAATTGATTACAACTTTGTATTTGCCCCTTGCTTAATGAATTAAGTTTGAATTTTTTATCCTCCAATATAATAAAAAAATTTGAATGTCTATCATGGCAAGTAGCCAATATAATGAAAAATAAAAATTGATTGCTTTTGGTTATTTATATTTCTCTTCTTTTGTTTTCAACAGCCTATGCATGATTCAATGCAATTGAGCTGAGAACAGGAGGCTGCATATGAAAGGGCACTCTGACCCGAAGGATTGTAACCTTGATGTCAGAAGCTCAATCATGTTGGAACCCGGCTAAAAGTGAGAGAACTCATTTGGGCTTTTCTGTTTTTCTTTTTCTTTTTCTTTTCCGCTAATATTTTTCATAATGAATTTGAGATATGTACTTTAAACGTGATGGATGTTGTAATCCAACCCAAAGGGAAAAGCCCCCTTTTTTTATTCTAACGAGAAAAGCATACTTGAGAGCAATTGTTTGATACTTTCACACTTGAACCATTTTCATCAACCAACAAGATTAAAAAAGGAAAGAAATCCAAGTAATAAATCAACTCACAGTGTTCTTTTCTTATCTTTTCTTTTTTTTTTTTTAGTTTATGGGTTACAACTTAAAAGTCTAGTGTACTGCCAAAAAATGAATAAGTAATTGTTGAACCGAAAAATGTCGCTATGAGTGTGAAATGGAGAAATACCCAGGTAAGGTGTTATCTGCTACCTAATTGATAACAATAAGCTCAGCCTTGGTGGGGAGGTAGTAATGCAAATTTCAAAAGAAATGATAGATAATGGCTCTTTATAAAGGAGAAAGACAAAAAAAATCACCAAATCTGACCTATATTCCTCATTTATACTTCCAAAACACTATTAAGTTAGTATATAACTAGAGTCTAGTGCAGCTGCCAAAAGCACTAGGGATAAACATAGAGTACAATGCTTTTAATACCAGGTGCTAACATGTGATAAATGAGATATGGAATATAAAGAAATTTGGTTAGAATAAAAATCAAAAGGCATCTACCCACTAGAGCTCAATCGAGATATCAATTAGGTCTTATCTTGTACCAAAAATATAAAATAAACAAAACTAGAGGAAACTTATGCACCAAGTATCAGTATGAAACATCTGGTAGCTGAAAAGACTATCAGAATCAGAACTTATGGGCTATGTTTAATCTGTACATATCCTTTATACATGTCCAAGTTTGAACAAAAGGCACAACTTAGATACAGCTAGAGCTAAACCAGGTAATGCTAGCTATCAAGAGGCAAGAACAAACATAAAGCAAAATAAAATGCAGATTAGAAAAAGCAACAGATCGATGAAGGATCAGAAACTGAGAAACTGCACATGGATAGATAGTGTGCCTGATCCACTTTGAAAACAATAGTCCACAAAGTAAAAGAATAGCATGTCTGCTCAATCACTTAAATAAAACAGAGCAGAAAATGTCAACTGCAAGAACCAAATAAACAAATTCGGAAACTTACTGCACCTTCCAATACCTATCACACCTATTCAGTTTAAAGAATAAGCAAAAAGAATGACACCAGGTGACTGGAAAAGTAAATAAATTCTGTCAAATAAAGCAAACACATCTTTCACTTTAATCACAACATAGTCTGTCCAGAAACATGTTTCCTTATTCACAGTGACATTGAGAGAATCATGCAAAAAACAAACCAACATTAGGTGTAAAATCACACAACAAGAAGTTCCACAAAACATCAACTGCCACTGTATGTCATAAAATTTCCCATTACAACTTTAGTCCTTGCTAACCCACATGGTTCCAGAGTGGAACCGAAGGCACTTGAGCATCAGGAGACTGTGCATAGGATATAGAAATCAGTTCAGACCTATATTTTTCAGCACTATCAGCATTTACCACCCCAACCCCATTTGCACTGTCTATATTTTTAGATGCATGACCTGAATTCAGATCAGAATCAGGTACAGAATCAGATATTGCAATAAGTAACTCGCGGGCTAGCTCCTTAGAAACCTTGTCAGAAGGTACTTTACTATCCATATAATGTCAATTTTCTCCTGCAATAGAAAACCCAAATTTTAATCTGATTTTGATCAAAGGATATAGAAATCCTACAGCCATACGAACAGAATAGCATATTACAACAGAGACAGAGAATTCAATCATCCACAATTAAATAGATTCCCGGAATTTGAAGCATCATGTTGGCCATTTAGTTACATTTAAAAAAGACACATTACATATGTTGACCCAAAATAACATCAGCAGAAACACTAAATTAGGTGTTATGACAGCATAAGCAAACAACTGCATATGCTTTGCTTGCATTGTTCAGACCGACAGGTAAACCAGAAGGTCCTATTATCATTGTATATATAACAAACATTCCTTTCTCCCATCATGAAACAATGGTTATACAGTGTATTATAAAACCATAGTCAGATAACAAGCCCAGCTACACATAATTCATCATCAAGGTGTCAACAGAGAGTGTCAGAAAGAACTTGGATAACCAAAATAACCAAAATTCATAAGTAAGAATTTTCAAATTAAGATTCTAAGAGTCACATGCTAAAGCTTTTCTTTACAGCAAACAACAGAATCCAAACCTAAATTTACAGTCAGCATATTTTCCAATGGACATAAATTTCAATATATCCAGTTTCACAGAGTAAAACTTGAAAAACAACAGATCAAAGAGAAATTTATTGATAATATGAATACGGGTTCAAATCCCCGGAAATACCCACATCTGTAATCCCATCAGGTTCTCAAATTTTCAGTCACCATGAAAACACCTTCCGCCCCTTAAAAAAAAAAAAATGAAAAACCCCTTCTTTTGTATTTCAATTTCATAGTCGAAAAATTGGAATTATATTTTGATTGGCTAAAATTTTCATGGATCGGATAAAGAACCAAGAAATATAGGGTTCACAGAATTTAGGTAAAAATTAAAAAAAAAAAAAAAGAAAGCCTTTTTCTTGCCGATTCGTTAGGGTTTCCGATGAACCAACGGGTAAAAGCAGTTAAGACGATCACGGAACATCGATCATGGATCAACCAATAGTAAAAATTACAAAAAAGTAAATAAAAATAAGAATAAAAAAGAAAAAAGAAAATTATGTAAAGGGTTTAAATCGAAAAAATCGTACCTTTTTTGCTGTTAAAATCGGAAAATTTGACGAGTCCTCCTTTTTTTCGCTTGAAATAGAAGTTTTTAACCTCCTCTTTTACATGAAATTACACTTATAACCCCGTCTGATTAATAAAAAAAATTAATTTTTTAACTCTTATTTTCAGTTTTTTTTTTTTTTTCACTTTTTATTAAAAAAGATAAAACGTAAAAAGGTAAAAACACCAACCACGGACCTAAGATTGAAAATATTGTTTTTTCTTTCATTGTTACATAAATTCAATAAAATTTTCATGTGTAATAATAATAATAATAATAACAATTATGAATTTCGAGGTCAAAAACCATGATTAAAAGGCCAACGTAGGTGATACTGAGCCCGGCCCAAAAGGCAAAAAACACTCTTGAACTCGAATGGTTATGACTTATGAAGCTTAAGCAGCAATAAGCAATAACAGCTTTGAAGTTGTTGGAACGTTTTTGTTTCTTGATGGAATTGGAAGGAAGGAATCATTTTGGAACATTGACTGATGAATTTTCCAGGTAGTTCAGATTCTACATGTTATGTTTCCCGTTTCTTTGATTTAAGATTCCAATTGCTACAAAAAAGTTAGGCATATAAATTCCAATCGAGGACAATAGTTTGTGAAGTGAAAATTCTTCGTTTTCTTCAATATACTCCCACTTCCTCTGATACCTGCTGCCAGACAAAGTCTGCATATTCTAGCCAACTTGGAATATATGGATGCCAATTGATGAGAGACAATGGAGGTTGGCCTCCTGGCAGATCAGAGGACTTAGTGGAGATCCAATCAGCTACCAATTTATGGTTGTTCTTTATCCTGATTCTAACAGGTGCTTGGCTCAGCACTGGTTCTGGCATTTTTTCATTTGCTCTTGTCTGGAAAGAGATCAGGCATAAACAATTAATCAAACGTGAGTTGGCAGTTGGCACAAAAGTCATTTGGTCTCAACACCATGTGCCAACTCCCAAGGCACGATGTTATTGTTTTGATGACATTGGCAATATTGGACAGATTATCAACTCTTGGCACAATTCTTTGATTTCTGAACTCTGATATCCATGGTCTGTCTCCAGAATGCAGAGATCATATATTTTTCACATGTTAATCCGGGAATTTAGGGTTTCTAAGCTTCAATCGGCTAAAGTTAACCTCAAGGTGATTGGAA